GTTCTTCATGTATTCCAATATTTCTCTGTCCTCTCCTTTCTAGGACTCAGATTATGTATATATTAGCATATGCCATCATGCTCCAGAATTCTTATGCTCTTTTCTGCAATGTTTTCTGATCTTTCTTATATTTCATCAACCCTGCCTTCAGTCATGTCTAATCTGCCACTCAGTTCATTAGCTAAGTTCTTGAGTTACTATAATTTTTAGTTCTAGAATTTTAAAGAATTTTTAAAATAGTTTCAGTTTTCTGTTGAAATCCCTTACCTTTTCATCCTTTTCTTAAATGTTTTGATTTACAGTTATTTTAAAGTTCATATGTAATAAATATAATATATGGATCTCTGTGTGTTTGTTTCTTTTATCTGTTTTTCATTCTGTTTTGTTTTTTTCCTCTCTCAGGTTATTGTCATGTCCTGGTATACCTATGTTGTGTGTGAAAATTTGTAGGACTAGCTTGAAGCTCTGGATAATGCTTTCTATCTCTTTCTCCAAAAAAGATTTAGGTTTTTTTTTTTCCCCCTGTCAGCAGTTAGAATAGGGATATGTTACCTTAAATGTACTCCTGGGTTGTATCAATTCTAAGCTGAATTTCAGCCTTTGTGATAGCTCTATATTTATAGTTTGTACTATTTCCAGGGTGTTTCCTTTCCTGAGTCTCAACTGAAAGTCTGGAGGGTTACCAGAGCATCTTTTCTTTAATGGTCCAAATTTTGTCTCTCCAAATTTTGTCTCTCCAAATTTTGTCTCTCCAGCACTGTAAAATTGATGAAATTCCTGCTCAGCTTATCAACCTCTGGACCAGTGATGTCTAATCCCCTCTTTCTGTACCATGCACAATGAACATGGTCTGGGGCGGGGAGGGGAGGGTCAGGGGGATAAGCCGCACGGCCTGTTGGGATCATCTCAGTTCATGCACCTTCTCCCCGAGGTCTTGATTCATGGGTTCCTAGTTCCTACACACCTAACTCTCTGATGCTTCAAAACCAAGAAAAGACTCAATAGATGATGGATAGTGGTACCACTAACTGAACAGGGCTGACAGATAAAAAGAAACTGAGAGGTTATGATGGAAAGGAATGTGTGCAAGAGGAAGAGATAGTAAATCCTGCTTTGATAATGTTTAAGGTGTTGGCTGCTCTGTAAACAAAGATAACGACTAAGCAACTGGAGGAAGGGTAAGTGGCTTGGCCTATTGATATTGATACAAATGTGTAAGTCGTCTGAATATAAGTGATGCTTAAAATTATGAGGTCAGAATTTACCTTGGGGTCCAGTGGTTAAGGATCTGAGCTTTCATTGCAAGGGGTGTGTGTTCGATCCCTCATCAGGGAACTAATAGCCCATATTCTGTGTGGTGTGGCCAAAGGACAAAAAAACTTATGAGGTGAGATGCAATCATAAAGGTAGAGTTTTGTATTTAGAATACACGGACAGACTTCAGATATAACTCTGGAAAACAAATACCTGCTTAGTCTCAATTATATACAAAAATATTTCAGTAGTCTTAGAAAACTGTCAATCCTTTTTTTAAATCATTCTATGACAAATTATTTCTTCCAAATGTTAATAGTTTATAATCTTTGCTCCTATAGTTCTAGATTAACAAAATTAGCATGTCATTAGATCCTTAGGGAAGCTCTTAGTCAGGTATTTCCATAAAGATTTATGTTTCCAGAACATAGCATAAACACCAGGAAGATATAAATGAAACAAAGGTAGCATAGAAAAGTTGAAGCTGAAATTGACATGGTATTACTGATTTAGAAAGTAAGCTCTGAAGTATACTACAGTTTGTAGAATCTGTCAAAATTTTATCCTGCTTTTTCCACTTGTAAGTTGTATGACATTGGGCAAGATACTTAATCTCTCTAAACCTCAGTTTTCTTATTGGTAAAATGAAAATAATAGCAGTACCTATTCCATTGGGTTGCTGTGACAATGAAATGAAATGATGTAGGTAAAGTGTTTAGTACAGTGTCATGCATATAATAAACTACACATAAATATGAAAAGGTATATAACTTCTAAAGACTAAATAATATGAAGGTAAAATTGGTATGAAATTAAAACCTCTCTTAAATTCAAGCTTAAAACACCTTTTACCTATGTCTAAATGCCAGGGGAAATTTAGTTGCAACATTTTTTACCCCTCTGATAACCAAAACTGATTCAACTTTGAATATTTCCTTTTTCCATATGTCTCTCCCAAAATAAAAATAAAGATGAAGTTCCCACATAAATTGGCCAACTTTTTGTTGAAGTTTGAGTGGCTGTGATCCTTGATTGAACTGTGTTTGCCTACATAACTGATGAGTGCCTTCTAAATGAGAGGAAAGTTATGTTATCTAAAATGTAAAAGTGTATGCTTCCGGGTGGCACTAGTGGTAAAAAAAAAAAAACCTGCCTGCTAATGCAGGAGATGTATCAGATGCGGGTTCGATCCCTGGGTTGGCAGGATCCACTGGCGACAGAAATGGCAACTCACTCCAGTATTCTTGCCTGGAGAATTCCCTGGACAGAGGAGCCTGGTGAGCTACAGTCCATGGGGTTGTAAAGAGTCAGACCCTACTGCAGTGACTGCACAGCACAGCTCATGCTATGTTTATCAGACGTTAGGCTACATTTAACCATACTGCCGGAAGATCCAGGTATTGCTCCTTTTTAAATTCTGCGTGACCAGAATATTTCTGGGGAATTGATTCTCCTAAATCAAGAACAAAATTTGTGTTTGGCCAAGATGACAACTTCACTTTTGAAACCAATGAACTTCAGTGGTTCAAAAGCTAAATGCTTGCTGTTTTATCCCAAGATAATAATTAAGTTTATACTCAACAGTGACTAACCAAAGCATTGACTTTACTTTCTTTTTCTTTCAAGAAATTCACTTCACCTGTGTGGATGGCAACGAAGAAACGGTTCTGCACTCTCATTTTCCTTACACTTTACAAGTTAGAAATTTGAAAATGAGATTGCTACCTTGTATCTTTAAGACTTTCAGTTGTAGATGGTAGAAATACAGTACAAATTATTTGGTATTCAAAACAAATGATCTGCGCACCCAGCAACTGCAGTGTGCAGGAATGGTGCTGGCTTAGACAGGTGAACCAAGGGTTTCCGAATACACTATCAGAATCATCGGCGCTATCTGCATCAATCTCTCTGTGTCTCTTCCCGTATTTCTCTCATCTCTCTTATCTCTCTGATAAGAGAGGTGTATTGGGGTTTTTGTCACTGCTTTAATAAATCACCACAACCTATAATGGCTTAAAGCAACACAAATTTACTCTTATAAAGTTCTAGAGGTCAGAAGTCCTGAATAAGTCTTGCAGGGCTAAGATCCAGGTGTGGGCTCTGTGCCACTCCTTTCAATGGTAACATTCCCAGGACATGCAGTTGCTCTGTGGTTTCAAGGCCTACTTCCTGGCACCGAAGTGGCCTAAGCGGGGAGCTGGGAGTTGATAGCACCTTCCCTAATGCTGTGTAAGATAGCAACACAAGCAGCAGTTTCCTTGTTGGGATGGCTGTGCTGCGTGATGATCAGAATCTGTTCCCAGGCACCTAACTTCAAGTTTAGTTCTCTGGGCCTTCCAGCAGTTCTGTGAGGCAGCCGATATCCTTTTAATAAACTCCTTTTCCTGCTTAATCAGCTAAAGAGAGGTAACTTCAAGTGCTTGAAATTGAGGGTGATGACTGAGTTATCTACCTCAGAGAGTTAACGTTGTAATGAAACAGAATACTATATTGTCACACAAGTTTGCTTCCTTGATTTGCCTGCGGATCGTTCCCCCAGCTCATCATCTGTACCCAAGTCCCTTGTTTCAGGGTTGGCTTTTGAGGGAACACAATGAAGATAGGCCATACCGATGGAAGGAATATGGTATGTTTTGACTTTGAACATTTCAGATAAAAAGAGGCATTCAAAACTAAAATTCTGGAGTGATTCCTCTACTTTCATTTTCTTCTATTCAAAGTGCTAAAATACTGAATTTTATTTTTTAAAAGTTGAGATCATTCACCTAGTTTTCTATGCCACTGATGATTTTGGCATACAATTTTTATTTTGAAAAAAAAATTGGTAAAATTCCCTAAGTGAAATTGTCTTTTTAATATATCATCTTTTTGTTTATCCCAGAGATAAAGGTTTAATATGTTTGCACAGAAAATAGTGCTGATACTTGAAAATTTGTTTAAAAGAAGATTAATATTTTATAATATTCAACTGATTGAAATGTAGTTTACAAGAAAAACTAATTACATTTACAGAGTAGTTGAAAACCTTAGACCTAGAATATATGAATGATTTTCATTTGAACAAATTAAGAGAATTGATTCATCTTCGTGGCAAAATAATCCAGTTACATTTAGTCAGGGAACATTCACAATGTTGGACTCAGTGTTTCTGGAAACTGAAAAAAAAAACTAGAGCACATTTTCCCTGCAGGCTCTAACTTGAAAATTCAATTAAGATTTATTGATAAAAGACTGCACCAGCTAAAATATATTATCCTAATTTACAAATCAATAAGCATTTCTGTGATTTTTATGCACTATAAATTATATACTTTAATTTATTCCTATCTGATGTCCAAATGTGTTGGTAAATGAGATGCCTAAAGCAATGTGTGGGGGTAGAATATAATTCTGTTAATGTTGAAAAGAGGTGACATTTTTATTCTAATCATAACAGAGCTTATGTGGACATGTTAACAACTTGCATACTAAACTTATTATATTTATATAGTGTCCCTTCTGTCTCCATTCTTTTACACCTGGCACATTCACCCACACACCCTAAAGACAAAGTGTAAGCACCAAGAAAAGTTTTAGGCAATTCTCCTCAAATTTTCCAATTTCTCTTTCCCAAACCTCATACATCCTCCTCACATGCTTTGGTTTTCTGAAAGCCTCATGTGTGACAGGGTTTCAGGTGGGCTGAATTTAGAACACTGAGTGACAAGCTGGCAGAATTTCTTGGTTAGGTACCTGGAGCAAGTCTCCTTGGTGATGTTTGTTTTGCTCTTACTTATGTAAGATGTTCAGGCACCTGTTCTCTTGAGGGTAAGTCTCACAACCTGATGTTTTTTCCTTACAACTTCATGAAGTAGAGAGCCTGCCTCCAGAGTAAGGCTTGGGAAATTTTGCATACTAGTGAGAAAGCTGCTTGGGGAAAAAAAAAATGAACCAGATTTTTAATAACTTCCTTTTTGAGTTTAGTAGTTTTCTGACAGATTGAGGTGGTTCAGTCCAAGATTTTTCACTGGATAAGAGCAGCGAGGGCTTCAAAGTAGAATTCTCCCTCAGTGATTTGTGCTTAAGATCCAGCCCACCCAAGAACTTCAATATCCAAGGGGAAACAGTTTCGGTCAAGGCACATAGAGAAATAGGAAACTACTTCAGGAGCTTCCAGTATGTTACCACCTTTGGAGATCAGTTGCTGGTTATGTGTAAGCTTAAACCTGAAGCCTAGCTATGCATAACTACAGGACTGAAGAGCTCTGGGCAAAAAAGGATATCACTGTGGCAATAGATTGGTATTCCTCAGACTGTGCAGAGCAGATGCTCAATAGAGACACCAAGTATGATGGCAAAATACCTCTGGTTCAAAAGGCCTCAATAGACTTTTTGATTCTCTCTCCTCACATCTTTTTAGAAGTTGAATTGAGCATAGTGGACAGTTTCTTATGGGGAGGCCACAGGAGGTAGACATTGGTGTTCCTGCAAATATGAGAATGAAGTATACCAAACTGATGAATTAATTTGTGGGTTACATGCTTTCGTTCAGTCATGTCTGACTCTGCGACCCTATGGACTGTAGCTTACTAGGCTCCTCTGTCCACATAACTTTCCAGGCAAGAATACTAGAGTTGGTTGCCATTTCCTACTCCAGGGAATCTTCTTGACCCAGGGATTGAACTTGTGTCTCTTGCATCTCCTATGTTGGCAGACAGATTCTTTACCACTGACCCACCTGGGAACCAGTTCTGTTTACTCCTAGTGTTTTGGCAGCCTCCCTCTACTCCTGTGTCTCTGGGTATATTGCAAAACTTAAATCACAGATTTATTTTTCAGTGGAAAAAGCAACTGAAGAAAAATGTAATTGATAAATTTATTTTTAAATATCCACATAACTCAAAATATTAGGAATAATTTAAAAACAAAGAGAACAATATTTATGTGTATAATAGCCTGTTTTACAAATCTCAGCATGCTTGAGTGAACAACAGATAGCTGACTTTCTGAGAAAGATGCTGAGACTGATTGAATAATAAAATGGCCATTCTCGGTTTTCGAATGGATGGGGGCAAGTAAGAGAAGAGCGAGACCAAAAAAAGACCAAATATAGCCCAGAACTTGAAGTTGTCTGTCTGAACTCTGTTCAAACCAGATTCACACTTGCACTCCTTGTGGGGCTGGCACCTAATGAGGAAACAAACGTTTGGACAAAGATAGGTTAGGAAATAAAATGAAAGAAAGCATCCCATTTTACAAAATCAGATTTTTAAAATAAAAATTTTATGTTGACTTTTATGTTTACTTAGTAGTAAACATAAAAAATTTAAGATCTACTTAGGAAAAATTATGGGATATAAAAAATATACATAGATATACAGTTGACTCTTGAACAATGAGAGTTCAGACTGCACAGATCCACTTATACACTGACTTTTTTTTCAATAATAAATCCTACAGTACTATATGCTCTGCAGTTTTTGGGATCTAAAGATGTGGAATTGCAGATGCAAAGGACGGACTACAAGTTACACTTGGATTTTCCACTGCTTAGAGGATCAGCACCCCAACAAAGTAGGTTACTCAAAAGTCAACTATACTTTGACTCAGTATAGAAACACTCAATAACACAAGTATGAAGGACCTACTGTTTAGCAGAGGGAACTCTGCTCAATATTCTGTAACAACCTATATGTGAAAAGAACTGGAAAAAGAATGGCTATATTAATATGTGTGTATATAACTGAACCACTTGGCTGTATACCTAAAACTAACACAACACTGTACATCAACTATACCCCAATATAGAATAAAAACTAAGTTAAAAATAATACTAATACAAACATGAAATTTCTCCAAAGACTAGGAAGTTAATTATCTTCCAAACAGAATCCCAAAGAGATTTCTTGTTTTCTTTTGAACTCGCAAAAATAATAGTAGAGTTCATCTATAAAAATAAATGAGTAGAGCCAGAAATTTTCTGAAAAAGAAAATTTATATGGAGGAAACATACCTACCAGATATTAATTATGTAAAACTTCAATATTAAGGAATGTTATTATTAGCCAAGTAAAATTCTGTAAAACAAAAGAGAATTCAAAAATAAACGTCTAAACAAAAAGGAATTTAGTATATAATAAATGCTGCTTTTACTATTTAGTTGCCAAGTCATGTCCAACTCCTTTGCGAACCCATGGACTATATGTAGCCTGCCAGGCTCCACTATCCATGGGATTTCCCAGGCAAGAATACTGGAGTGGGTTGCTATTTCCTTCTCCAGGGAATCTTCCCAAGCCAGGGATCAAAGCCACGTCTCCTGCATTGCAGGCAGATTCTTTACCACTGAGCCACCTGGGAAGCCACAATATACATAAATGTTTTCAAATTATTGAGGAAAAATGGCTTATTCAGTAAGTGATGTTGGAACAACTGGGAGAACAATTTAGAAAGATTTTTTTAAATTTTCAAATACGTAAATATTTATTGTAAAAGTGAAATCATAAAAACTAAAAAAGATGAATTAAAAATAATTTTAGCGTAGGAGTCTTTTTATGGGAACATTGAAAATCTAGAATTCATTAAGGAATAGATTAATATATTTGACTAGATAAAAACTAAGGACTCATGCAAGACAAAACAAATACTTCAAATAAGATAAAATACAACCAACCAACTGGAGAAAAATTGTTTGTAATATATATCCATAAAATTCTAACTTCTTTAATATACAAAAAACACTTGCTAGTCAATTTTTAAAAAACAACCACATAGACAAAAATTGACAGAGAGTATATATGTCATAGACTTATAAATAGATTTAACATATTTTATTTAACAAAGAAATGATGCAGGCATAAAACACAATCTCCTTAATGAGTCTTAATTCTAGTAGGTAGACCTGATGCTCAGCTGGTAAACCCTTGTAGGGTTATACTAGTAGCTTATGACTGATGCCCCATCTGACTGATCAGAACTCACATGCTTTCTAGTTATTAAATATTCTCTCTGCTGGTAGAGGATTGACAGACAGTAAACTAGTAAATTTCGGAGTTTCTCAACCTTTGTGGTATTGACATTCTGGGCTGGATCGTTCTTTATGTCAGGGACTGTCCAGTACGTTGTAGGATGTTTAGTAACATCTCTGGCCTCTACCACTACATGCCCGCAGTAGCAGCTCCTTCTCTCCAGCTGCGAGAACCAAAATTGTTTCTAGGCTTTGTCAAATGCCCCTGCCCCTGTTGACAAACACCAGTATGTATAAATGCCGGGTAGAGTATTAGGAAGAATTATAAAGGAAAATAAAGTTGGATGAAGAGAGGCAGAATGAAGAGAAGCAGGTGCTTCTTTCAACGGGGTGGTAGGGTAAGAGCTCTCTGAAAAGATGACATCTGAGCAGCAACTGGAAAGGAGGAAATCATCCTGTTTCATTGGAAAAAGAATTCCATGCAGAGTGAATAGTAAGAGCATAGATTCTGAAAGCTGAACTCGTCTGGCCTTGGTAAAGAACAGCAAGAAGGCCACAGGTTGGAGCAGAGGGAGACACAGAGAGTGGGGTTGATAGACAAGGTCAGAGAGGAGGACAGGAGGCAGGTCTTTTAGAATCTTGTAGGCTGTGGTGCGTGCTCAGCCACTTCAGTTATGTGCAACTCCTTTTGACCGGTGAACTGTAGCCCGCCAGGCTCCTCTGTCCATGGGATTCTCCAGGCAAGAAAACTGGAGTGGGTTGCCATGCCCTCCTCCAAGGGATCTTCCCCACCCAGGAATCAAATCCATATCTCCAGCATCTCCCGGATTGCAAGCAGGTTCTATACCCACTGAGTCACCTGAGAAGCCTAGGCTGTGTTAAGAACTGCCAATTTTACTTTGGATAAAATGGAAAATGAAAGAAGGGTTTTAAGAGAAGACTGATGTAATCTATCTTTTATTAATAGAAAAAATGGATAAAAATAACTAAAAATCTTATGAAAAAATAATCAACTTCAGTTGTAATTAATTGAAAGGAGTTTAAAAAATTGATGTACCATTTTTTTTTCCACCTAGGTTATTAGCAAAGATTAAAAAGTTGAAACATCCAGTGAGAGTGAATCTTGAGGGGAAAAGGAAAGGAGCATTCATCTGCTTTTAATGGATGTAAATTTGTACAACTTCATTAGAAGGCAATTTGTTAATGCCTATTAAAATTTAAAAATTGGTGCAGTAACTGCATTTAAAAGGAATTTAACACACAGGTCTACTCCACAAATGTAAAAAATCATATTATAAAATTACTTCTTGCAGCATTGTTTGAAATACTAAAAACTCAATCCATGTTCAGTAGCATTGGATTGGGTCTGTGCGTGTGTGTATGGGTGCTGAGTCTTTTTAGTCATGTATGACTCTGCGGCCCCATGGACCATAGCCTGCCAGGCTCCTCTGTTCATGGGATTCTCCAGGCAAGAATACTGGAGTGGGTTGCCATGCCCTCCTCCAGGGGATCTTCCCAACCCAGGGATCAAACCCACATCTCTTATGTCTCCTCCATTGGCAGGCAGGTTCTTTACCGCTAGCACTTCCTGAGAAGCCCAGGACTGGTTGTGTAAATTATAGCAAATCCATATAATAGAAACTGTGTAGCAATCAGGAAATTTAAGGTAAATCTAAATAGACCCACATGGAAAGATCTCCAAAATAATTGTTAGTTTAAAGAATAAAGTTAAAAACAAAAGCAGCTTATAGTATAATTCCTTGTTATTTAAAAGAATTAAAAAGCCATATGTTTGTTTGCTCTAAGGATATTCATTCTCTATGCGCGTGCACATGTGCTAAGTCACTTCAGTCGTGTCTGACCCTTTGCAGCCCCATGGACTATAGCCCGCCAGGCTCTTCTGTCCATGGGTTTCTCTAAGCCAGAATACTGGAATGTGTTGCCATGCCCTCCTCCAAGGGGATCTTCCTGACACAGATTCTTTACCACGAGCGCCACTTGGGAAGCCCTCATTCTCTATGTATCTGGTTCTAATTAACTGATTTGTTCCTTCTACTTGTCACTGAACATAATACAAGATGATTACTAATGACTACTAATTCCTTTTACTTGCCTGTTTGATTTTTAGAACTTTATTTTATGTGTATATATATATATATATACATATATTTACATATATATATAACATATATAGGGTGACTCTGCTTTTTTAAGGTATTCCTTACATTTATATTTTAATATAATTTCATAATATAATGGTAATTCTCAAAGTAGAAATTGTTTTTTCTAGTATATGGATAGAAAATTCTGGAGGGATACATGAGAAACTGTTAACAATGGTTATCTCTAGAGACTAGAACTGAAAGTGAGTGAGTTAGGAGATTTTATATTTCATTTCATATCTCTATGTACTCATTTAAGTTTTTTATCATGTGTATATTTTCTACAATATTCCTAATAATTTAAATTAAAACAAAAAAACACAATCTTCTAGAACACCAGCGTTGAACTCCCATCTTCCAGGCCTGTCTCCCTACATTCCTAGTGTAGGAAATGATAACAAATTTGGTTTTCCTGGTTTTTATTCTCAACTCTCTGACTCTATTTGCATTTTGTCTGGCTCTATGTTTCCCCTATCTCTCCAGGTAAGCACCTCATATGATCTAACCTGTGGTTCATCTGCTTGCTTAACTGGCACCCAAACCTGAAAGGTCAGACCAAAACTTCATAAACTTGAAGAACAAGTAACATTATCACTTAGGAAAAGTGTTAGTCTCTCAGTACTGTCTGACTCTTTGTGAGCCCATGGACTGTAGCCCATTGGGCTCCTCTGTCCATGGAATTCTCCAGGCAAGAATACTGGAGTGGGTAGCCATTCCCTTCTCCAGGGGATCTTCCTGACCCAGGGATTGAACCGGGTCTCCTGCATTGCAGGTGGATTCTTTACTGATTGAGCCACCAGGTAAGATGGACCAAGCTATTGTTTAAAAAAAAAGTAGTATTTAATAAAATTGACTTCATTAAGATGCTCAATAACTGTATTACATCTAATTTAGGGTTAAAGGTAAAAACTGGTTGTTATTGTTGTTGTCATGCATTTGTTATAAAATTGTAAGATTACTATGGGTCTTTTATGGTTTAGGGCTGGGTGAACACACCCATACCTAGCTCATTTTTACTCACACCATACAACAAACATAACAATTAAAAACAGCAGGTGAAATTGGTAATTGTTTCCTTCCCAGCCTTCAGTATGCCACAAAGTCTAGAGAATATAAGGGGGTATTATTTCAGATTGACTTGAGCCATATGTAGTTTGTAACACAGAATTTTTTATCCATCTATTTCAGACCCTTCACCCCCATAGTTGGTTTCCCCCCACCATTTTAAAAGACCACTTTCTTGGCCATTTACTCCTGCCTCTCAAGTCTGGGTTGAATACCTTTCATCTCTGTTACTATGATCGTTTACCCTGAGTTGTTAACACATAGCCAGTAATAAATGATGGCATTCCTGACATTTTCACAAGGAATAAAACAGTGTATATAGGCGTACATGTCAGTTTTTTGATGTCCAACTCATTTCATGCTTTTTCTAACCTTTATTTTTT